TCCTGCTGCAGCTGAGAACAGAACACAGATTCTCAGGGTCTTAATCTACGACTACTCCTGAAATGTTCTTAATAAAGACACAGCAGATATGTAGATAATAGATTTGGTAGTTTAAAGAAATTGTTTTCAGTTTGCTAGGCTCAATCCATGTTTTAAATTATATTTACAATAAACTCCCAAATGTCAGTATTATTCAGCATCTGTGTGGGACCAATTGCTCAGTGAGTCATAGTGACGATTACTGACACAAACTTATCAATCATAAATCAAATGAACTAATGAAAAGAGATAAGGATATCATGTGTAATCCAAAGGAAGTATTGTTAGTATTATACATAGCAGATTAAGAACTAAGTGGAAGCTTAATAATATGCTATTTGGACGAGGATGTGGTAAAACAGGTTCTCTTGCATGTTGTTGCTGCAAGTGTAAAGCAAGACCAGATCTTTTGCAATATCTATCAAAACGTAAAGCATGCCTACCCTATGACCCAGTATTTCTCCTTCTAAATGTTAACCTTGGAAAAATACATTCACCTGTGTATAAAACAAATACAAAGATGTTTACTGTAGCATTGCTTAGCATTTGAAAAATGAAAACAACCCAACACTTATCAAACTGATATGACTAGGGTCATATACTACACTACAGGACTTTAAAAACAATGAGCAGGGGCCAGCAGATGGTGTAGCAGTAATGTCACTGGACTCCCACATGGCTGACTGCAGTTCAAGTCCCAAACCCGGTTACTTGAAACTCATGCCGGGCACATGTGCGAGCATGTCCAAGATTCTGAGAGGAGAATGGAGGAAAAGGGATTGTGGCATGGCCATCCCCTCTGGGGGTGATTTCTCATTTTCCCTCTCACTGTCTCTCTCTCTCTCTGTCTGGCAAGCACACACACTCTAAGGCAAAACAAACAAACAAACAAACAAAAACTCTTTAAAAAAAGGTAAGAAAAGCACAATGAACTACATCTCTGTGGTTCAATGTGGATATACCTGAAACATTTGTAGGTTATCGAGAGAGAGAAGTCCTTCACGTGAACCCTTTCCGTACTCCTAAATCAATACATTTCCTACGCATACACTATATGAGCAGAAAACTGTTTTTTAAAGAAAGGTCTGGAAGGTTCTAGGCCAATAAATGACCAGTTGGAGTCAAAGAGGACCTTAGCTTTATCTGAAATGTACTGATTTTTTTAGAAAGCAATATTCGTATATAGTTGATAGGCTTAAATTAATTTTAAATAGTTCATAAAAAGGACTAACAGGACCTGACCACAAATGGAATTGTTCTATTTGGCATTACATTCTCTATTCCAGCAACTTCCTACATATCTGAACACCATACGATACTCTTGTTGGGTATGGATAGAGAATTCAAGCTCATTCCAAAGAGCAACAAAATGTCATTCTTCTGTGAGAGTTATTAATAGCACAGCCTACTCAGGGTCTAATTATTCAGTATGCAGATTACACTAGCTCCTAATTTTCTTCCTTTTCCACCTCTACCTCTTTCTTACTGCCCACCCTTCGACTATTTTGTTACTATTCCACACCTTTGCCAGAAAATGCGAAGGGCATGAAGAAGAGCTCAGGAAAGCCCAGCCGTTTCCCCTCTAGGTGGAAGCTTTGATGGAGGGTAAGGATCGGAATCATGTAGGGAGGATAAGTGTGTCTGACTCTCTGTGGGTCTGTCACAGCCCTTATGGTGGCCCTTACATGGAGGGATGGGAAAGACTCTCTCACTCCCCTCTGATGCCAGGAGTGCCACGACTGGAACACCTTCTGGGAGGAGGACAGTATTTCTAGAGGACCACTGAGGAAATGTCCGTGTGCATTGGTATGTAAGTGGTCAGGGTAAATGCGGTTAGATCAAATGCAAAATAGAGAGTGCGCGTAGCCCTGAAAATTACGACCATCACCATAATAAGAATATAAACTAGCCTGTGATATATGTATATATATTTTTGTTTGTGTGTTTGTTTTGTTTTGTAATTTGCTAGAGGCATGTGCACTCATCAGAGAGTGAGAGAGAGAAAGAGAAAATGACAAAGCACCTGCTGAGGGTGGCCGTGCCACAATCCCTTCTCCTTCATTCTCCTCTGGGGATCTTGGGCATGCATACATATACACACACACCTGGCGTATTTTTCAAGTTTCTGGGTCTGGGACTCAAACCATGATGTTGATGATATAGGACCCAGCTGCCTTAGCCACCATATTACTGGCTGGCTTACACTGTAATAAATTCTTTACAGAAATTCTCGGTTAATCTTCACAGTAACTTATGAGGTAGATATTATGATTATTATCTTAAGATAATAATAACGGGACCAGCAGTTAGCATAATGGCTATGTCGCTGGACTCCCATGTGGTCGACCGCGGTTCGAGTCCCGGACCCAGTGGCTTAAAACTCACGCCAGGCATGTGTGCGTGCGTGCCCAAGATCCCAAGAGGAGAACGGAGGAGAAGGGATTGCGGTGTGGCCATTCCCCCTGGGGGGTGATTTCTCGCTTTCGGTCTCTCTGTCTCTGTCTGTCTGGCAAGCGCACACGCCCTATAGCAAAAACCTCTTTAAAAAAAAGATAATAATAATAGATGGAGAAACTGAGGCCTTAGCAATTAAGTAACTGTCTCAAAATTGCAGTAAGCGATGTAGGTAGAATTAGGGCTAACTACATTGCCTGTCTTCTTAATAGTATACTATTATACCCAACACAAACACAAGACTGGTTTATTATATTAACTCTTGGAGTGCAAAGACCCAAGGTATATACCCACAGGAGTGTTACAAATTGTCCACTTGGTGCAGATTAACTGTCATAGATATTATGATTGTAATCACATATTATTTTATGGTTTGCCTTCCCCATCACATTAAAAATCCCATAAGGGACCAACTTGGGGTGGTTGAGGTGGCTGGATGTCACACGGCTGGTTGCATGGTTGGAGCCCTGGACTTGGGGGATTGAAGAAACCCACAGGTGCATGTGTGCACATGTTCAGAATCCCAAAAGAAAGAGAAATGGAGAAGGGATTGCGGGTTGCTTTCTCACTTTCCCTGTGTGTGTGTGTTTGTGTGTGTCTGTCTCTCTCTCTGGTGAACACACATGCTTTCTGGCAAAATCAAAAAAGGAAATCCATGAGGTTTGGAACTGTTGTGTTATTTCCCATTGTATCCCTAGTTCCTGGCCCAGTACTTGGCACTCAATACATTTTTCTTGCAATAAATAAATGGCTACATGAGAGAGACTGAAGAAAGACCTTGGACACTGACAATGAACTACTGCTTATCTGCTAATCAAACCTAAATGCTTGAATCTTGCAGTTCCCCCTCTCCTAAGTGGAAATGAGCTCCAAACAGTTGAGGAAGGCAGTAATGTGAGGTTGGTTTGCAACGTGAAATCCAACCCCCAGGCTCAAATGATGTGGCATAGAAACGGCAGCATCCTGAATTTAGAGAAAAACTACCAAATCCAACAGACAAGCGAGTCTCTCCAGCTGTCAATCACCAAAGTCAAGAAATCTGACAATGGAACCTACAGTTGTGTTGCAAAATCTCTGGAGACAGAGACCAAGGATTTTCACCTGATTGTTAAAGGTAACTCTCCTTTTAAGTAATATGCAGCACAGTGCAGAACTCATTCATTTTGGGGTAACGACAAATAATTATTATAACTGGGGCCGCAGATGGCGTAGTGGTTGTGTTGCTGAACTCCCACATGGATGACTGCAGTGTGAGTCCCAAACCCTTTGGCTTGAATATTCCACTGCGTGTGTACGTGCCCAAGATCCCAGGAAGAGAATGGAAGCAAAGAGATTATGGGATTGTGATGTGGCCATTTCCCCCGGGGGGTGATTTCTCACTTTCTCTAGCACTGTTTTTCTCTGTCTCTCCAGAGAGCGCCCATGCCCTAAAGAAGAAGAAGAAGAAGAAGAAAAAAAAAAACTCTAAAAAAATATAATTAGTAGCTGGGATTTTCTTTGGAGAATTATCCCTACCCAGGGAATTTTCCATAAGAATTCCAGCCTGTTATGTTAGGGTAATTATGCTGCTCCATAGAGGGAGACTGCCTTTTAAAAAATTATTTATTTAATTCCATTTGTTATTATTATTTTCAATTTGACCAGACAGAGATAGAGAGAGAGAGAGAGAAAGCAAGCCACCAGATCTGGGACTCAAACCATGATCAGCCATGTGGGAATCCAGAGCCCTTAACCACCATGCCACCTGCTGGCAACTTGACTTCACATTTTTATTTAGTTTTATCACCTTTGCCACAGCAGAGAACAAATGAAGCGCCAAGGGATTTTCCTTCCTTATATTTCTTGCTCAAACACGAGAAAAGCAAGATACTCAGTGAAGCAAATGCAAAAAAATGCTCCTGCACACATTTTTTTGGACTTGAGCCAGTATGTGAGGAGCAGCCAGGCACGCTGAGGCTCCTGAATCTTGTTAGAACATTATTCACATTGTCATTCATCTCCTTGTACCCACTCATTGCCATTCTTGCCACTCCCCAGGAAGTCGACTGAATCCCTGCCAGAAACGTTGAACTGAAGGAACCATCTCAAGTCTTATTTCCTCCCCTTCAAGGAGATCTGGGAGGCAAACAGAGGGGTTGGTGGGAAGGAAGAGCTGCTGCCAGCAGAATACCCATCACTGTGATTAACTGGCAGTTTTTAGTAATTTATCCTACAGAGCAGTGATAGCATGCCCAGGGGCTACTTGCTTTAAAAATCAAACCCGCAAATAACCCAAGGACCTGTGTGAGGCAGAAGCAGTAGAAGGGGCATCACATTGAAGCTTGTGGCTATTCATCTCAGCCGGGACCACAAAAACATGGTCAAAAGGGCCTCATGCCGTGCCATCCTAACTGGCTGTCAAGGCCACACTTGGAGACTAAGGAATTACAGTCTCCCTCTTGGTTAAGAAGACATCGTAATTGCTCTATGTCACATTAAACATAAATAAATAAAAATACAGATTCTGTGGCAATCAGGATGCCAGCTTGGCAAATTGGCTTTCAGGTGAGCAGAAACTTGTTTTGGGTGGAGCGCTTCCAAACCAACTTGTTTTTCTGATTTTGCCACGTCGTTACTTCCCTAGCCAGTGGCTGCCTTCTGAACGTAAGCTCCCTGCCCTGGTGCTCAGGCCAAATGCCGAGTTTTCCAGCTCGGCGGCTCAGGGGGGTAGATCCTAAAGGAGGCCACACGAAGCTGGAAATGACATCACAGAACTTTTCTTGAGCAGCAGGTGTAACCCAGGTGTCGAAACTATTTTACCGTAATGAATATGGAGGGGTGGGGAACTACCAGGACTGGTTACAAATAAGAACATGAAGCAGGACAAGGGAAGAGATGCAGTTATTTACACTTGCCAAGTCATTTTCCACGGAAATGTGGACTCTAAAGTGAGTCTATGCGTCAGGCAGTTTATTTCAGATGGTCTCTGGAGGGAAACGCATGTAAATACATTTCATTTGGCTTGGTAAAAATAATATTCCAACCTGCGGCTAGCTTCTGATTTCTTTTCCTAATCATCTCACCTTTACTTGCCCTTCCTTTGACTTCTCTCTCGACACGCAATGGAGAGGCTCCCCAGCAAGGCGAAGGCTTTTTGGTGTGTCCCAGAGGTGGCTGCTACAGAGCCAGAGCTTACTAGAAGAAGTCTCACTGAACGAAATTTCTCCAGTGGGTTATTACAACCCTCACCTTCATGAGAATAATTTTTTTTTTTTTTGTAGTTTTTGCTATAGGGTGCATACACTAGCCGGAAAGACGGAGACAGAGAGACAGAAAGGGAGAAATCACCCCCCAGGGCGGATGGCCACACTGCAACACACGCACCCCACGTGAGTTTAAGCCACCAGGTCCGGGACTCGAATTGCAGTCGACAACACGGGAGTCTAGCGACGTAGCTATTACGCCAACTGCTGGTCCCATAAGAATAATTTTTAGAAACAGTAAAGAGAGGGCAGATGATGCTTAATCCACTTACTTCCAACAACTATCCTGAGCAGGAGCTGGACAAATAATGGGGAAGAAAACAACTAAAAGATAATTGGTTAAAATGACTAAGTGTGATACTTTTTTTTTTTTTTTTGGTGGGTTTGGGGAAGAGACAGGGATAAACCCTATTCATAATCTTGAGATATATGGGTATTGGGCTATGAAATTAGATTTATCTAAAGTCATTTCCTGTCCACCCAGATTCTTGCCTCTTGTATGCTATTTTATGCTTTTTTTTTTTTTTTGGAGAGGTTTTTGCTATAGGGCGCGTGCGCTTGCCAGACAGACAGAGAGAGATAGAGAGACAGAAAGCGAGAAATCACCCCCCTGGGGGATGGCCATGCCGCAATCCCTTCTCCTCCGTTCTCCTCTCGGGATCTTGGGCATGCACGCACATGCGCAGGGCGTGAGTTTTAAGCCACCAGGTCTGGGACACGAACCGCAGTCAAACTACAGGGGAGTCCAGCAACATAGCCATTATGCTAACTGCTGGTCCCTACGCTTCTTTTTTAATGCTCTTCTCAAGCTGTAATTTTTGTTTACTTAATGTCTGTCTACTCTACTAGACTATGAGATCCATGAAGCCAGAAGAGACTTTTGTACCTGTTTTTTTGTTTTGTTTTGTTTTGCAGAGCAAAAGCACCTAACACATATTAACTACTCAGTAAACACTTGTTGCATATACCTCAATCCATAAAACTTAACTGACACTCTTAATCTCCTTTAAATTTCTAAAGTTTTATCTAAGCTATCTTAAAGCATCAGGCAGCCTCAGGATTCAGTGACTTAGACAAGGTCATTTAGAAACATTTATTGATCTTAAGCACTTTTACTTTTGAGAGTTTCATCCCACATTAGCAAGCATTTTTAAATAAAGGACATTGAGTCTACTTTTCCCTGTAAACATTTTTTAAAGAATTATTTATTATTTTTTAAAAAATTTGCTATAGAGCATGTGCACTCAGCAGAGAGAGAGAGAGAGAGCAAAAGTGAGAGAGCAAGCCACCAGGTACAGGACTCAAATTGTGGAGGGCCATGTGGGTCCAGTTCCTCAACCACTGTGCCACCTGCTGATCCCTCTCTGTAAATATTTTAAAAGGATTTTTTTTTTTAGAGAGAGAGATTTTTGCTATAGTACATGTGCTCTCTCTGGAGAGACAGAGAGCAGGAAATCATTCCCCAAGGGGGATGACCGTACCACAGTCTCTGCTCTTCCATTCTCCACTTGGGATTTTGAGCATGCACGCACATGTGCCCAGTGTGAGTTTCAAGCCTCCGGATCCAAGACGTCTATGTGGGAGTCCAACAATGTAACCAATATGCCAGATGCTTGTCCCTTAAAAGGATTTTGTATAACATGCATAGATTTTGAATTTTGTTATCAATAGTTATTTTGTTCTTGGGGTTTAAATATTATTTTATTATTTCTTTTATTTTTCGATTTTTGCCATAGAGCATTTGTGCTTGCCAGAGAGAAAGCAAATGAGAATTCAGTCCCCAGGGCATGGCCATGCCACGATCCCTTCTCCTTCAATCTCCTCTCAGGATTTTGGGCACACATGCACACATGCCTGGTGTGATTTTCAAGCCACCAGGTCTGGGACTCGAACACCATCAGCTATGTGGGAGTTCAGTATCCTAATCAACGTGCCACCCACTGGCCCCTAAACATTATTATCTAACAATTGAATCATACTCGACACAAAATTACATTTTATAATGTTTAAACATTTATTAATTTTGATTAATTTTGCCACTTTCATTATATATTGGGTTTCGGAAAAGTCATGACGCATTTTTGGGTAGAAAACACAGAAAAAAATATGTCATGACTTTTCTGACAACCCAGTATTTTGGAGCCAATGCATTCCCTTCCCCACCTTCCTTCTCAGGTCTTAGATATTTTCATAAGCTCTTGGAAAGCTTGCAAACACAGGCATTAGGCCTCTAATGGCCAATAATAAAACAGCTCTGAGCTTACCTGGTGTTCAGAAAATAAAGAAATGGACTTCTCTTTAAGACTATCATGGCTGCTGCTGATCTCTTCTGAGTTCAGGTTAGAAGTGGAAACCAGCAGTTAGCGTAATGGCTATGTCACTGGACTCCCACGTAGTCGACCGCAGTTCAAGTCCCGGACCCAGTGGCTTAAACTCACGCCAGGCATGTGTGTGGGAGGGCCCAAGATCCTGAGAGGAGAATGGAGGAGAAGGGATTGCGGGCCATCCCCCCTGGGGGGTGATTTCTCGCTTTCTGTCTCTCTGTCTCTCTCTGTCTGTATGGCAAGCGCACGTGCCCTATAGCAAAAAAAAAAAAAAAAAAAAAGCAGACTCTGTGCTGTGCTTCTAGGTCACTTATAAATATGGAAAGTTTTGCCATGATTGGGAAGTCTAATGGTCAGAGTCATCCTTTTCTAGGGGCTACTTTCTATGCCTTGTCACCTGCTTGAGTCACTATAGGGGTACAAGTTTAAGGATCCACACTGCCCCTGGGACCCATAGGCCTCTCCTTCTTGTCCCTTTTCTTATTCCCAAAGCTTTCCTCCCTCTTTTCCTCCCTGTGGGATACCTTCTGATATCTTTCGGGTTTTCAAAAGGCAGGAAAAAACATTGACTTCAATCTATTTCTGCTTTCTTCTTCTTTTTTTTATTTTTAAGAATTATCTTATTTAACTTTATTTATTTATTTTCATTTGACCAGAGGGGTGTATGTGTGTGGGGAGAGAGAGAGAGAGAGAGAGAGAGAGAGAAAGTTATAGAGGGAAAGTTAGAAGGCAAGTCGCCAGGTCTGGGACTCGGTCAGCCATATGGGATCCAGCATCCTCAACCACCACACCACCTGCCAGCCCCATCAATCTATTTCTGCTTTCCGAGTGGCAAATAAATTGTGGATGAAGAAAGCACTAAATGGTCTGATTTAGGGGGAGTCATCACACTGCAACAAACTATTGCTCCAGCGAGGAATGGGTTCAAAATCCGCCTCTGCCGTTTCCAGTTCTGTAACTTTGCGCAAGAAACCTAACCTCTCAACATCCCTATTCCTCATCTGTAAAATGGTGACAATAATATCTACCTTTAGGGTTGCTGGGAAGATTTAATTAAGAGAATGGGTAGGGCCAGCAAGTGGCACGGTGGCTGGGGCACTGGATTCCCATGCGGTCTACCACGGTTCAAGTCCCGGACCTGGCAGCTTGTATTTTCACTCCCTCCCTCTGCCCCATGTCTCTCAATGGTGAATTAATAATAATAATGATCATTTTAAAATTAAATGAGTAATTCGTTTAAAAAAAAAAGAGGATGGGAAAAGTATAAGATCATGGCAAAGGTGTCACAGGCACATACATGGGAAGCATACGGATGTTCGCTCATTTTCTTTGTGTTTGTATTTCTAACAGATAAAGCTGCGACTGTGCCAAAAGAACCCATTATAGCTGCATGTGTTGTGATCTTCCTGACACTGTGCTTTGGGCTGATTGCTAGAAGGAAAAGAATAATGAAGGTATCTAAGTATTCTAAACTGCTTAGGTAAAAAGTCATCTAAGTAACAGCTGAAAACTGGCTGTGTAAATGACTTCAGTTACACCCATCCTTGGGTAAAATTGAATCTGGCTTCTCTATCATGAGATCTAAAATTAAGTTGTTCAAGGGACTAAAAGTGCATATATGCATGCACTTTTATACAAGTTTTATACAACTATATAGGTTTTATACAACTTTTCCAAGAGTAAGAGTGCATATGGAGGCGGCCTGAATGGAAATAGTTATGGTGGGGGTCAGACACAACTGGCCTCACATGGAAACATCCTGGGTTCGTGTCCCAAGGCCTCCCTGCACACACCAGAACCATGTGCCCATGATCTGTATTGGGCGAAACCGGGAATGGATGGTGGCAGGAAGACTCTGTTGGGAAATGCCTGCTTCTCTCTTTCTCTCTCATTCACTCTGTTTCACACACATGGAAGAAATAAATCAACTAAAACCCAGCAGTGGTGTTAGGGGTAGAGAATTTGGGGTTGATTTTTTTTTTTCTTTTTAAATTCCTTTTATCATTACTGTGTCTATGGTGCAATCAACAAATATAGGGAAGACATCTGCTCTGGATTCAGAGAGCTGCATGAAGAAGGCACCTGTCCTGGGGAACCAGCTGTTAGCGTGATGGCTATGTCGCTGGACTCCCACGTAGTCAACCGCGGTTCGCGTCCCGGACCCGGTGGCTTAAAACTCACGCCGGGCGCGTGTGTGTGCATGCCCAAGATCCCGAGAGGAGAATGGAGGAGAAGGGATTGCGGCGTGACCATCCCCCCGGGGGGTGATTTCTCGCTTTCTGTCTCTCTGTCTCTCTCTGTCTGTCTGGCGAGCGCACACGCCCTATAGCGAAAAAACTTCTCAAAAAAAAAAAAAAAAGAAGGCATCTGTCCTTACCTCCTGAGAAAAGCCACACGCCACACACCCTGGCTGCAGTGGGCTGGCATATGAATTGCTGAGTGATTAACCTCACTGGCCGGCGTGATTCAGAGCACATGTATGAATAGGTTCATGCCACGCATTTGACTCTGCCAATGAATCCAGTGCCAAAGGAGGGCAAATACAGCAGAAACCCTCTAAGGAAAGGCCAGTATGCCCTAGGCTGAGTTCATCGTTTTCCTCAAAACATGATAAACAGTGTCTCCCAACAATGTCTCCTAAGAGAAAATTCACCCCAACCCCTGATCCAATCCAAAGAAATTTTTTTCTATAAACAATGAAATATTTGTTTAAGAATTCTGGAAGCATCTTACATGGTCTCTAAGTGAGACCTGAGCAAGGGCAGAGGTGGCTGTATTTCTACAGCTCCTGTCCCTGAGCCTCCTCAATGCATTCCAACGATTTGTCCACAAATCTTAGAAAAACAGGCAAACTCATTGCCTTGTTGTGTTTGCCTTTAGCTCTGTATAAAGAAGGACGACTCTCAGGGGGAAACAGCTCTGTAAGGACTTCGACTGGGGCCAGCGATTTTCCATACACAGGTGGGTAGCTGTGGCAAACATCATTGTCAAGCCCTTTCCAGGTAAACTCCCCCAGAGATGGAGGTGCTGGAAGGCGAAGGGGTTCAGAGGAGATTAGAGGATGGAACAAAATCTGCCTCCACTGTAAAGGAAGATGGGTTAGAAGGTTGCCTAGAACCTTGGTCCTAAGCCTACTCTGTCTTTAAGCAAGTCCGGCCAATCCTGTGCAACTGCATTTGATTGCTACACAATCTTCCAATAAATGACCCAGAGGGCCTGTCCTGGGGCAAGCTGTTGCCATGCACAGGTTTACAACGAGGTCAGGAGCTACTTCATCCTAAATGTGACCTTCTTTTTGGAGCTTCCTTGAATCTGTTGGCTTCGGTGTATGTGAAGTGGGCGGTTGGTAACAAGAATAAAGGCGTATCAGAGTATGGATTTTGTTTTGATTTTTTTCCTTATTGTTATGATCCTCATCATAATTAATTTCTTGATTCATTTCAGATGAGAAAGTGAGATCCATCTACACAGAAAGAGTTTTGCATCAGAACCTCCTCAATTTATGTAGTCCCATCTGTATTTATTGCTATTATTAAATTCACTCCTGTCAAATTGTCAGCGGTGTTTCATTAATTGCTTAGTAGTTGTTAATGATGAATTCAGTATACTCATGGAACAGCTTTATGAAGAGAGCTGTTAAGAATGAAAAATAATATTTTAAGTCTTCTCTTTGAAGTACATGTTAATTAATTGAGATTTATTTCAAATAGGCTGGTAACCATTTACTATTTAATGTGTATTTTTCCAGGTGGGAGATTAGCAGACATGTAAGTTTCAAAAATCTGTGCAATATGAAAAAAAAAATTTACAATATCGGACCACAACAGAGTGATCAATTTTTTAAGTTGTCAATGAAATGTATAAAAAATAGCAGTTATCATATACTTTCACTGTCATTTCATAAAAGAAATGTTTGAGGACTAAAAAAAGACTGAAGGATATAATCTCAGAATATAAGACATTCCTTTAAGTGGAATAAATTTAGTATTATGAAAAACTCAGCATATGTCCTTATTTTTCTCTTCTCATGGTGGTTGACACAGTTACAGAGTTTGTGAGCTCTGTGTGGTGCTAAAAATCTCAAAAGCAGGGGAGGGAAACTACCCAGTGTGTTCATGATGCGTATCCTTTGCCTCCTTTTGAATAATCCCTCGCGTAGATCAGTCTGTATACTTATGAGCCAGCCTATAATCTTCTTATACATCTTGACTTTTTTTTTTTTTTAAAAAAAAGAATTATTTTACTTAACTTTATTTATTTATTTTAACTTGACCAGAGAAGTACAGAGTGTGTGTGTGTGAGAGAGAGAGAGAGGGAAAGTGAGAAAGCAAGCCACCAGGTCTGGGACTCAAACCACAGGAGATCAGCAGGTACTGTAGTGATTAAGGTGTTAGACACTCCCACATGGCTGACCACAGTTCAAGTCCTGGACCTGGTGGCTTGCTTTCTTACTTTCCCTCTCTCTTTCTCTCTCAATCTCTGGTCAAAATAAAATAAGTGAATGAATAAATTAAATAAATAATTTTTTTTTTTTAAAGAAAGAATTGTGGTCAGCCATGTGAGAGTCCAGTGCCCTTAACCATGCCACCTGCGGGCCCCCATACATCTCAACTTTAAATTGCAGCTGTCTTATGATAGAGCAAGGACTTCCCCCATCTCTACTCTTTCTTCATTTTCCCCCATGAGAATCTACATTTCTCTTTCCCACACAAGCGGGATACACTGCAGGGAGAGGCAGCCCTGGCTAGAACCATGGTTGATATCTTCGCAGTGTTCCTTCTCTAATTTGGGGGCAGGGGGTTTAAAAATCTAATATTATAGTAGCTAAATGTAGCAAGAGAGAAATCTGCTGTGAGGCAGGTGGTAAAAAGCCCCTTATTGGCATAGAAGCAAAATAAGAAATGAGCAGAATGTATGAAACCTCCACAGACTTGTTCCTAAAATGAACAGACACAGTCTTCCTTAGCAGAGGCTCTCCTTGCTTCCTTGGAAACCTCAATATGGAGTGAGCAGGAGACAGGCTGCTTTACAGATTTCTCTGTCTTCCGGGAGATCCCAGCAGGGTATAGCGGGGAAGTGTCCAGACCCTGTCTCTCATTCTGGATTCTCAAAGCAGAATCTGGAAGCCCTGTGAAAATGCTGTAAAGGTAAAGTAGGAAGACGGTGAAAAAATCTGAAAGCTTAGATGACTAAGTAGAAGCCTGGAGACTGGGTCAGGATTACTCAAAATGGAAAAGGAAGCAGAAAACATAAATATCAAATTGTACTTGCAGTCAGGAGACCTGAGTTTCAGCCGTGACTATGTTGCCTTGGGAAAGTCCTTTTCCCTCTCTTGGGCCTTTGGAAAATGAGATTAGATCAGAAGATTATTATTATTATTTTTTAGATTAGAAGAATTTTTAAAGAACATGTTATCTGGAAAATTCTATGATTCTCAGTAGATTCCCACACGGTTTAGTTCAATGCTGAATGGACTCGGCGAGAAAGACTGGAAATGTTAATACCTTTGCCCCACCTACCAGAATTATGAATCAGCTTTGTTCTAGGACGTACAATAATCCTGGAGATTGCAGGTCATCAGTAAAGAGTTTCTTCACCCTTATGAAACGTAGTGGCCTTGTACATTAGCATAGACAAGAAACATAAAGGCATTTCAACAGATCACAGATACCATAAATGGTCACTGCATTTCATTTTGCTTTATAGTGTAGAAAGGAAAAAAAAAAGGAGCCTGTATTAAAACCCAGGTCTATTATTGACACAGAATTAAGCCTGCCTTAGAAGAATATAAAAATTAGGGAACCAGCAGTTAGCGTAATGGCTATGTCGCTGGACTCCCACGCAGTCAACCGCGGTTCAAGTCCCGGACCTGGTGGCTTAAAACTCACGCCGGGCGCGTGTGCGTGTGTGCCCAAGATCCCGAGAGGAGAATGGAGGAGAAGGGATTGCGGCGTGACCATCCCCCCTGGGGGGTGATTTCTCACTTTCTGTCTCTATGTCTCTGTCTGTCTGGCGAGCGCACGCACCCTACAGTGAAAATCTCTAAAAAAAAAAAAAAAAAAAAAAGAATATAAAATTTCAAGATGCAAAAGAGGGCCTCCTAGACTTTCCAAAAATATCTTCTTTACCAACTATGAGATACCTGGAATCCCAATCTTCACTCTGCAATCCCTCAGGACTACAAATAGCAGTGTTTCCTTCTCACCACAAAGCTGGTAGCTTCCTTCTCAACCTTCCCACCAATAAAGACAAGTTGCATTACTATTCTTTTCTTGGGTTCTTTTCTTTTTTCAGGGAGAGATTTTTGCTTTAGGGTGTGTGTACTTGATGGAGAGATAGAGAGACAAACAGAAAGCAAGAAATCACCCCCCAGGGAGGATGGCCACACTGCAATCCCTTCTCCTCCATTCTCTTCTTGGGATTTTGGGCATGCATGTGCATGCGCCTGGCATGAGTTTCAAGCAGCCAGGTCTAGGACTCAGGCCGCAGTCGGCCATGTGGGAGTCTAACAATGTAACCATTATGCCATCTCCTGGTCCCCTTAAGTTTTATTTTTTAAAGAACTAGTCTATTAAGCAGTCTTTACTTATTAAATAATAATGATGTTTTCCTAATTTTAGAAATTGTGTTTATTTTTAAATTTTATCTATTTCTTTTTTCCATGAGCAAGAGAATGATAGAGAGGCATTCCGGCATCCCGAGCTGTGTGAGCCACCTCCAGCCTCAGCCTGTTATAGATTACAGGCATGCATGTGTGCATTCAGTATGTTCAGAGAGGTCAGACGCAAACTTAGAATGCGTCTGCATGGGGCACCCTTGCAGATCATTGAACCCCAGCTGGCTACCACCCAGTCTGCTTTCTCAGTTTTTCAGACATTTGTCAAGGCGATGTCAGTCTGAGCATCTTCTACAGCACAATTACCCAGTTGTAATTCTGCCTAAAAAGACAAAGAAAGCTGGTGCTTTAGTTAGCCTTGCAGTTTTTTTTCTTTAGAATGATATATTTGTTTATTTATTATTACTTTTTTTAGAGGATTTTTGCTAGAGAATGTGTGTGCTCTCCAGAGAGACAGAGAGAAACAGAGAGACAGGAAGCGAAAAATCACCCCCCGGGGGTTGGCCATGCTGCAATCCCTTCGCCTCTATTCTCCTTTTGGGATCTTGGGCATGAATGCACATGAACCCAGAGTGAGTTTGAGCTGCTGGGTCCAGGACTCGAACCACAGTCAACTACATGGGAGTCCAGTGACATAACCATTATGCTATCTGCTGGTCCATATTTTCAACTTGCTATAGGGCACATGTACTCACCAGGGAGAGACAGAGAAAGTGGGGAAATGAGAAAGCAAGCCACCAGGTCCGGGACTCAAATTGTGGTCAGTCATGTGGGAGTCCAACACCTTAAGCACCTCTCCATCTGCTGGTCCCAATCTGTGCAGTTTTTTAAGAGTTTAATAATGGAACCATTGCCGTCAGGCTATTTGAATCATGAAGCTTACAAACTCCCCTCTCTAACTTTACCCCTGCCATCACCACCATCACGACTGCTTTCCTGAACCTACTGCCTAGAGGCCATAAACTCCAGTTTTTACAAGGATGGAGCAGATCAATGAGTAGAGCTGGCTAGATATGAAACAACAGGGAGTGGCAGGGACAGTAGGAAACAGCACGTCTGTGTCTAAAAGAGGATTGATAATTACCACCATGGACAGACCTTTGGTTCTTCAACTTGTTGGATCTTGGGCTGTGGTACACATGCCCAGCATGTTTTGGCCCATCTGGGCTAGAGGTTCTAACTGTGTTTGTAGGTGGCCAACAGCACTGCTATTTAGCACACTGCCTGCACCACCAGGTCTGGGCCTGTCTGTTTATTTTAATCCTGAATGTGTAGGAGTAGAAGAATCCTCTCCCTCCAATATATGCCA